GTTGTACCGGGTAGTATGTAACTTTATTAGTATCTTGAAAGTGTAATTGCTTTAGTTACAGCATTTTTCCTTTACCACTGAACGATGCTAAACTTCGCTTTATTTCAGGCCCAAACCTCTGTTCCATGGCAGGTACGTAGGAACGAGCGACGATTCTAAGCAAAATAACGATGGAAAGGAATGTAGGATGTGTTCAAAGTTCGCCAGCATTCCGCTGGTGCTTATATATTGCTAATATGCCTGTCCTCTCACTATATGAAAATAACCCCGTGGTGTATATTTACGAGTTGTTAAAAAAAACGTTCAAAGCGTAAAGAATAAAGGACGTGGACTACGAAAGGTGTGTTTTCTTCTTATTTGCTATGTTGGGCAGTTTTTATCGCGCACCTGTCCTCTGGCTTCCCCCCCATTTGCATAGATTTGCCGCGTGCGTGTGATGATTTGAACACAGAACAAGAATCTTGGCACATATTCATGAGCAGAAAGAATAAAGCAGTACTTATTTATTGCAAATCGGACTATATTACGTGACTTTCAATTTATTTTGATCGTCTGCAAGCACAAGGAGTTACTTACTCAGTGTTACTGCGTAGTTCTTGCAGTCTTTCTCGGTTTCCCACTTGTCCTTCGTTCGTTTGGCGCGTATATCCCCATGCTGGAAAGCGTCGACGCCGTGTTCGCGCTAACAGTGTCCGACAGTGCATATAAATACACGTACGAAGCGGTTTTAACACCGTTTTTATTGCCGCGAATTTCAAATAAAAATGCTGTAACTGACCAATTATTTCATCTGCGTGACTGAGAAATGTTCCAATGTGCCTAGCACGCACAAATTATTCGTCATATTTGCTCTTATAATCGAGCGCAGAGAGAAAATGCACTCGCTTGTTCCCATAGAAATGCATTACCGGAAGTCAATTTCTGACTGCATGCTGTCTGCTTCAAATTGCAACAGCACACTAGCGCCAGCTGAGCCTAGAGCGTTTATTGTAATAACTCTATGTTGTTTTGTTTAGTTCTTAGCAGGGATGGGCAAAATACATGCAAATATGTATCGAAATACAAATACAAAATACTTCGTCAAAAATGTATTTAATTACAAATCTAATTACATTTCCAAAAAAGCATTTAAGTACAAGATACAAATACAACCAAATGTATTTGATCTCCTCCAAATACTTTTCCAAATACAATCCTCAAAATTTGCGTCAGCGACTTCAGGGCACCTGCAACGGGTTTCGGGGTATCTCATTTTAATTTCGCATCGCACACTCGGGAGTTAGTGTGCGAGGCTTTAGTAACGTAATAGAAATTTAATCACAAAACAATGTAATCAGCTTGGTCGTAATTGGTTAAAGAAATACAGAAATTCAAGCAGTGTTTTTTTTTTTTTTTTTTTTGTCGATTACATTTTGGTACAGACCAACAGAGAGCCGAGACGACCAAGCCGCGCAGCACTAGCTAGAGAATTTTTTTATTGTTGCAACTCGCACCAGGTATGAAAATCTGTACGACCCGCGCATTTAGAATGTTCCAGGCAAAAATATGGATGGAAATCAGACTGGAAAGCATCACAAGTTGTCACAGGCACTTATTTAGCCAGTCTGCCTGTGAACGTCGATTTCGTCACAATTCTTCACCTTGACTAGCACCGTAATCAGAGTCACTAAACGCTTGTGCTTGACTGAGAGACACTGCATTCGGTGCAGGACGTAGCTTTCTTCCTGCTCTGGACAGTAACAATAAATTTGAGGGATGTATTTTCGCCCTCAAAATTGTATTTAATTACAATTGTATTTGAAATACCCACGTTTTAGTATCTAAATACACACGTCAAATACATCACCCAATTTGTAATTAAATACAAATACAAAATACACAAAGTATTTGAAATACGTATTTCAAATACTTGTATTTAAAATACTGCCCATCCCTGGTTTTTAGTAATGAGCGCCTCCGACCACACGAGCGCTGCTGTACACCTCTATGGTGTCGCCATCCGTGTTCCGGCCGCGCAACTCGCTCTGTGTCCGGATGTTGCCAGTGTTGCTGCATCTGTAGGTCATCTTAAGTTAGAGCTGACAGAGAAAATCTGGTCACGGCGCAACGACGATGTACGCTGGAAGCTAGAGCCGGTTTCTTTCGTTGTTTTTGTTTGACCGGAGAATATCTGGCAACAACAAATGGCGCCGCTATTGTTTTGGATTGAGGGGACGCGAGAAGCTTCGCAGTTTGCGAGCACATAGCGAAGACGTGACCGAAGAAGTGCCCCTGTAATGTTCCCGGAAGACGGAAAGTATCTTTCGTTGTCGTCGTGTGTGCTTTGAAAGCGAAGGGAGCCACAGGGTCCACGAGTGCGCAACCACAAGCCAAGGTTCACGACAGCGCTATGTTGATTTCGGCTATCTCGTTCTGTTTGGGGCAACACGGCGATTCGACAAAGAGCCGAAACCTTCGTGGTGTGTGGTGTGGTGCTTGGAGGTATAAACCCACAATAACACGGAGCTCAAATTGGTTATTGTGGGGTTGAGGTTCAACGGGTTCAGTCCCGTCGTCGTCAGCTTATCCGGTCCAGCTGGTCCAAGAGGGCGCAGCGAGCGTTTTTAAAAGTAAATTTTCCTTCATTCCGTTTCAAAATGTAGAAGATTCCCGACGCATACCGTGAGTAAAAAGCTGCGGGCGTTTTCAAAAACATTACGTCGTTTTAATTCAACAATGGACTTCGGATTGTTGTCCTAAATCTGCCGTTTTTATGCTTCGTGTTGTTAGACTGCGTTTGCACAGTGACGTCTTTGCACAGCGACGCACACCGCTCAAGTAGGTGATTCGGTCCTGCAAACGAGCGGTTATACAGAATTTCAAGGAAACTTAAGTCACCACCGATATTTTTCTGGAAATCTCGTGCGAGTTTGTTGCGCCCATCATGCGGCGTGACTAAATTAGGGCAAGATTTCCTACCTGTCCACAGATGCATAAACTGAGACCATTTTTTACGTACTGAACATAGTGCTTTTTCTTTATTTTAGGAAGAGGCGTTAGTGCATTTATTATGGTACAATCACTTGAGAGTTGAGAAATTGGGGAGATCAAGCAAGCTTTCTCAACTTTGTCTCTTTTCTTGCTGGCACTGGCCCTAGTTTCAAGTTTCAGTTTTAATAGGCATACCTACTAGCAGGTACGAACTGCTCTAAAGTAGGTAAAAGACAGGGGAAGTCAGGACGGTGCGGACTCTGTGTTTTGCGTTTTTCGCAAGGTGACTGGGTAAATGCGTTTGCGTGGTGTGCGGAATATGCAAACGACTTTGTTATGCCCGTCGTTTGCGTTTCCAGCAAAACGAATAAGATGACCAACAAAGGCACAATCACAAGCCAAGATTCGGTAGTTCGTGTAGTTGTATTATACCATGCTCTCTGCAACACCGGGTTATGATGAAGAGCTGGAACGGTCACGGTTTGTGCTGGGCTACCGGTTGACAGAAACCCGCATCGCCCGCAACGGCACCGAGTGCATTTGGGCTTTTGATGCTTGAGCATTTCATTCGCGGCTTGTCGCCAGCTGATCCTGCTGTTCGACGGTGAGGAAGCGGTGAGAGCGCCCTCTGAAGTAAGTGTAAATCCTCGTTTATCCAGTTATCCGTGTCAAAGTGTGGAAGATGTCCAACGTGTACTGAGGGTGGGAAGTACGAGCGTTTAGCCTTGCTTTTATAACCGAAACCAAAGCAGCGAGATAACTGACTTGCGTACTCCAAAATGACGGAAGCAATAAGTTTCAACAGGTCGAGTACGTCACCGCAGATGTAGGCGAGACGGCGCCCACTGTTTAAACGCTTGCAGTATCCACGAGTGGTACCAGGAAAACGACGTCAACAGAGAAGGAGCTCGCGATCCGGCATAATGCAGTTCCACGGGCGCGTGAATTTTCAATGTTCGGGGTAGTGGCGGTATAAAAAAAAATATAAAAAAACGCATCAGAGCCACATTAGTGATCACGAATAACACCGGTCACAAACTCCCAAGCCCCAATGCTCCACTTGACACCGTCACGACATGCGACAACAAACTGCATCAAAACGCCCCAAAAGTGAAGGTGTCTGCTCCCGTACGCGTACTGCAACTAGCGGTAGTGAAGTGTTGGGCGGATGTCCTACACAAGAATATGTAAAAAATGCTTTGCGCAGTGATAATTTTTATTGATTATGGAGTACATAATGATAAAATCCCAATAATTTGTTTTTCTATCTCATTCAAGCTAGTCGGACTGCTCATAACATTGGTCGAGCATGAAAATAATAAAAATTTGAACTTTTGCATGGCAGGTTTAAGATTTATTGTTAATAGATTGTTGTTTTTCGCAACGGACTATCATTATAGATTTTGCTTCCATACTTCCTAAATGCAAACAGTTTTTACATACGGCTGTTAAATGTGCCGTGTTTTGTGTCTTCTTATATAAATCTGTAACGGCCAGCGACCAAAGAGCTCGCCCGCACATGTCAAGCTTATATACGCCGCGGGGAGAAGAGGATGTAGAAAGTGGGGGTGCTGTGTAATACGTGCGGCGTGTCGTTGTTGTGTTTGTGTATGTGTTGGTGCTGTGTAATACGTGGTACTCGTTGTCTTCGATATATGTAGGGTTACTTGTGATCGTTCTCAGCGTATTACCGGACACCTGCTTTTTTTTCTGGCCGCTAGAAACCTCACTAGGTGGCGCAAGTTACCGCCCGATTCTAACTAGTTTGCTCGAGTTATTTATCCATGTAAGTTCGGTATTCGTTTTTCTATCTAGCGGTTCCGTCGTAGCTACCAACGCCACCGACCGCCGACGACACACGTACGTACGTACCTTTGCACGTAGATACGTCCGCCGCGCTTCGAGGCTGTTTACTTTGTATAAAATACATCGAACAAGAACAAACGCGTCCTGTGTGCTTTAAATTCGGCTGAAAGGCGCGCGGCTAGCTGGGCTCGTCTCTCGCCTGTTCTCGGTTGCTGGCCGCCATGTTTTATGAGCACGCTCAGCCAACACGCTCAACCGTGTTTCGCGGAAGGCAGGACACTGTGTAGCGTGTAAAGTTTACACGGCACCTCGTGCGTAGGCGAATAACACACATGGCCGCGTATAAAACCAACACGTTTTGATTGTCCACTGTGGGACAACGATTTACACGTCTGGGCGTGTTATTTTTGCTAACAGTGTATTATCTTCATAATGTATATTATGTGAAGCACGCATGCCGTCTTGATTTTAAAAAAAGCCGAACCCATTCTCTTTTGTAGGTGGAGGAAGAAAACCTTTGATTACTTCAAGGACCTCGGAATACCTGGACCTGAGCCGAGTATTATTTGGGGAAAAGTTGCAGAGTACCACAGAAACGTGAGCTACGTTCGTTTGTATACGTTATTCCAAGTAACCGTACCCTATAAACAAAACGTGTGTCAGTTCATTTTGCTGCAAAACACGGAGGCAACCGATCACGGCGAACAAATCGAGGATTCCCGCGAATTTTGAAGCTTGGAATACGATTAGACAGAAAACGATGCGATGTTCAGCAGGAGAATGGCCTTTCTCTCTCTCATTATCTCCGCGCACGTAGCATTTGGTCAAATCTAAACATATTCTGATTTCCTTTACTCGCTGGGATCCTTTTGCTGTCCACCTTTTCAGCTGTCTTTAGGTGCTGAAGGAAAGTAGACTCAATGTCTTCCTTTCGAGTGTCGAATTTGTTAAACTCCTTTCGCTGCCGTAAAAAGCAAAAAGAACCCGTAAAAGTAGGTAATCTAAAACTGTTTCCGACCACTTTGAGTGCCAGGCACGAGTACACTCGGGCGCGTTCTCGTGTGGATTCTGTTTTGGTTCTCTCCCTACCCCTTCCCAACTGAACTGTCACATTTGTTTTCTACGTGTAGTGACACGTATGAACAAGCGATAAAAACAATGGGTTATCTTCGGGTGTAATTTTTTGATGGCGTACTTTGGCCGACTTCTATTTTCGTATGGGCCTTCATTGTTACAGAATGACGAATTTGTGTAGTTCCAGCTCGCGCCATATGGTGGACAGTGATTTCTTCAAATTAGAAATAAACTCGGCATCCCATAACTGTGAAAACTAGGAAGTTACAGTTTCGAATAAACAAAGGCCCAGTAAGGTCGCTCAAAAGAGTGACCAAGAGGTGCGAGTTCGAAATGCCACTGCTTATAGTACCGTGTCTTGGAAAGCAGAATACGAGAAATATGGCCTAGGTTGGAGGCACACAGACCTTAATTTACTTTTTGCCCACACAATAGTCTGTCATCAATAAATAAATATTTTTTCACAGATTATGCTACAGCCTTACTGAGATCAAAATTTTCGTTCTGCGTGTGTTAAGCTGTGCGCTAGCGTAGAGGTAGGGCACAGCTTAACTGGCCTAGGCTGTGCCCTAGCTCTGGGCTAGGGCACAGCCTAGGGCACACACAAATTGTTAAGCTGTACCTTTGCGTAGAGCCTCTTCCTAGGGCACATCCTATAGCACACTCAAAGGGTTAAGCTGTACCCTAGCGTAGAGCCGCTTTTAGAATGCTTAACCTATTCGTCGTATCCATTAAACTCCAGGGTCTGTCGAGATAATCGAAACGCGTTTTATTGCCAATCGCTGGTGTGAACGACGCATAGTCTAACGCTGAGGATACACTTGTGTCTAGAACAAACCATTTGAAAAACATGCCTCTATTTCAGAACATAATGTCATCCGCGCCAAATTGTTAAATCAATACTGGAATATGTCCTATGCGAAGTCGGCGACTCGCGAATCCCGGAAATGCACAATAAAAACAGTTTTTTATTTTTATTGTCAGTTGGCTGTCGAAAGAAAAAGCCAATTCTTTTAGTGGAAATTATTTATAAAAGTTTATGAGATGACATTAAGCTCTGAACTACGGCTTTCTTGACCATAGCTTCTCTTTTCTTTTGGAGTCTGACCGATTCGCGTTGCAAATATGTTTTATGGAGTCTTCGATTTCTCTGTTGTGTTTCGTATATGCAACCAAGCAAATAATACCTTAATGCATTGTACCATTCCCTGATACAAGTTCGGAATGCTTTTGTTTCGAGGCTTTGCCTTACGAATCCTTATATCTTTTCTAAATTAATAAATTAGTTTAATGTTACTCATCCGACTGTTTTCTTTGGGTAGGGCCGTCACTATGCTTTGCAACAGTGGTGTGATAAATACGGTGATATATTTGGGTAAGTGCAACGATTTCGAAGCAATAACGTTTTATTTATTACTTTAATATACAAAGCAAGTGCCATGTTTTAATTTTTATACATTAATGGTTGTGCACTTGTAATTACGATATAGACTGTATAAATATAAGTTTTATTTGTAATGCCTCACAGGATGGACTGTATACATTCATTCATAGATAGTTTTGAACCACTGAACGTTGATATCTCTACAGGTTTTACAACGGTGATGTTCCAATTCTCGTGATCAAGGACATTGATTTTTTGGATTATATTTTTGTGACGAACTTCAAAAACTTCGCTGACCGCGGGGTAAGTTGTTTTAACTACGTTAAAATAGAGCCGGTCGATATACATGAACCAAGGTTTAGGATGTTTAATGAATATTCCGACAGTACATAATGTCGCTGCCTTTCCGTTCCAATATGATAATAATAATAATAATAATAATAAATTTGTATTCAGGAACATTCATAAATTCATACAGGAGTGCGGGGGCAATCAAAGCCAACGGTGGCTTGTGTGACGCCGCCCAAAAAAAAAAAAAAAGAAAAAAGAAAGAGACAAAGGTTGAATGTCCAAGAACACAGTCAGTAAAAAATTAGCACAAAGAAAGCAGAAAACGGGAAAGAAAACGATCATAAAGCAGTTAGGAGTGCACAAGACAGGATGACTAATATATACACAAATGCAAATGTAGTAAATATAGACACAATTGTGAAACGACCAAGAACAAAGTCAGTACAAAAATTCGCAAAAATAAAGCAACGTGGACGTGAAAAACAAGAATAAAGCAGTTAGGAGTGCACAAAACATGAATAATATGTACACAAATACATACGCAACTAAATATAAACATTATGTAGTCTCTCCTCCAGAAAGATGAACTTTCATACTTTTCTTCAGCTGGCTCAAAGAATTAGCCTGCAGAATTTCAGAGTGCAAATTGTTAAACGTCTCAGGCACATAATATTCGCGCGTATTCCTACCATATCGAGTACGGACAAAAGGGACTTTAAATGTTTCTTGAAAACGAAGGGAATGAGTAGGTACGTTTTCTCTCTTGAAATCATCAGACCAGAAGTAACGTTGGACAACAGTTCGAGTAAAAAGACTTCTGAGACATGGGAATTGCAGGAAATGAAACAGGTCACTGTCGTCAGGTATTTGCAAGCCGTAAGATACACTTTTCAAAATATTTTTTTTAAATGCTATCTATTTTACCATGCCACTGGGTTGAACAGTTTCCAAACACTGTAATCCCATACCTTAACACGCTATATGCAAGTGTGTGGGCGATTATTTTACGTACAGAAAAAGGCATAAGCGATTTGGTGTTATATAAGGCACGTTTATTTAACGTGCCTAAAAACAACCACGCGGGTCTTCATGTTGGCGCACAAAAGACAAAAAGAAGAAACACGGCACACGCACCGCTTAAAATGTACAAATTAACATGACTACAAATAGGTCGCACACTTCACACAAAATGTAATAGAGTTTCAAGATTCAACTAGACTTGCCAAGTTCTGGAGAAAAACTAGGAGATTTGTGAACATGTCCAAGCTAGACGATGCGATTGTATTAAATGAAATTTGCATACGGGACAGTGGTGAAAGTTTAGACATGAATTGAATATTGCCGCGCGCAGGGTCACAGAGTTGTAGAAGGTTGTCGTTTATTCTTGCTGAGGACATAACTTCTATCGTTTATCCCTGCTTTTGTTGTTCTAGAAAGTGCGTGTTCATTCTCGCCCCGAGCGCGCTACGCTCGAACCTTCTCCGCCGAATCTTCGAGATAATCACTCACTCTAGATAAGAGGCCGCCCGTGACCTTGTCGAGTCAGTTTTCGCCCCAGCGAATCTGATCTTTCGCTGACTTCGACGCCCGCGACGCTCTGCTGTTATCTTCTGTTTCCTTTTTATTTTTGGGCACAAGTTTGCCCCCATTAAACGTTTCAGTTTCCCCAGTTATTCTTTGTTTCCTCGCCTGTTCTTTTATTACATTATAAAATACAGTAAAATTTCTGGTAACGCGACAAGGAACATAGTAGCCGACAGAATTCAAAAGTTGATTAGCATCAGTTCAACTATTTACCACCCTGTGCAAAAAAATCAGATCACGCTCGAATATTCTATTTGAAAAGGACTTAAGTAAAACGCTCTTAAGAAGAAATTCATAATCATAAAGGTATTAAAGAGCAGTATTTCTAAGTATTCACTAAGTAGAGCGCACGGATAGCATAGCTGTCACCATGCGATTTTTTTTTGTCATTAGATTAATTATGATTAGAATTCTGACCGATGTAGGCGTTTGTTTTTATAATAACATAAAAGACTTTACAGCTATCATGACCTTGCATTATTACTACGTCATTCGTCTCACGTACTTTGAGACGGAAAAGTGACAGTGGTTTCGAAAATAGGTTAGGAAGTTCAATTTGTTATTTTTATTGATTACTTTATTTTGATGGATATTAACGGTTCGTTTGGGAATTTGTGTTCATGAAGAGTGGAGAGAATTTTTCAGGAATATATATTCCTGTTTTCTTCTAGTAACTTCACCACATTATTTTCGGTCCACCGTAAGCTCCCAAATTCCTTAATTCAACTTATTATTTGATCTTAATTTTTTTAAGTGCGATATTACACGCGCCAGTTTAGATATACTTTATTTTCTCCTTTATTTTAAATTTCTAGGGCACCGCCGCAACGTGCTGCGGCGAATCGAATACGGCGAATCGAAATAACGACGAAAGCCTTTGAACAGCAATAATTAATATGTTGACGGGATGTATGCCAAATAAGAACAAATTAATAATTGAATATCATGTCCTTTGGGATGTGTAATTATTTTTGAACTTTATATTTATATGCGTAAGTTTTAATATATTTAAAAAAACGCACGTCCCTTTGGATTTGTGTTGCTACGGAACAAAACATCCTGTCATCATTTATTGCGGCATTTTAGGAAAGTTGTCCTTGGTATGATCACCATCATTTGTCAGCCTCCGCATGTTTTTCCAAAAATACTTTACTTATGCGACCACTTGCAAGATTCCTAAACCGTCAGACACACAACAGAGAGTAAAGGAGAGCATTTTTTCAACCAAGAAATGACTTTTAACGCTAACCGCCAATCCGAGAATATTGTGCGTCCGTCCGTCCGTCCGTCCACTCGTGCGCTTTCCGCTATATTTAGCGGAGAAAGGGGCATTACGAAATGTCTCGTGAGGTCACGTGACCTATACGACAACTCAGCTTTCGCGCTAAATTTAGCGGGGAAATTTATGACTTGATGGCAAAACGTCAATTCAGTTGATGTTTTACACGTCTTGTGACCTAGACACCTATTCAGATTCCCCGCTAAATTTAGCGGGGGAAATGGATATCACGTGACCTGGCGTCGCGTGACCTTAACAACAACCATTCGAAATCCCTGCTAAATTTAGTGGGAAGATATAGCGCAACGTGAGAGACCAATTCCCGCAGCAATTCCATATAATGCTTTTCGTGCCTTATGCGGAACGCAAGTTTGTCTGCTTCTTTTGCAGGGGCTGTGGTGACGTCAGAACGCCGATTGGTTCTGAATGAAGGATAGTGGGTAAAACTAGAGGCAGCTTGCTTCGAGGTCTACCCACTATCGTTCGATTTGAGCCAATCAGAACTCGGTGTCTTTCTGACGTCACCGAAACTCTTCCGCAAGAAGCAGACGACTTGTTCTCCGCATAGGACTTTGAAGGTAAAGATGGCTGCCACATTTGTTCTGATGCAATAGATCAACTCTTCTCTTTGAAACATTCCGAAGACGCATACTAGAGTCACCAACAACTTAAGAAACCGAGAGTGTGGCTCATTATGATCGCGCTTCTTGCATCGCGATTCGTCCTTATGCGTCCTTATCGGCTAGTGTTTGAACCTGATTGGCTAAGCTCCAATAATTGGATGCTCCAGACTCGCCGTACCCTGCCTTTTTAGTGTTAAATACTTTACCTAAGAAAGTTTCTATTCCAGGTTACAATGAGAACGGATCAAGTGCATTCATCACTTGGAGAGTCCTTGATTCACGCCAAGGGATTGCAATGGCGATTTCTTCGAAGCTGCACCTCGCCGGAGTTTACTTCGCACAAACTGAAACAGGTATCTGGAGCAGAAGTAGATTTCCTATGTCCAGGTTATAAGAAACGACATCGCATAAGCCACGCGGAAAAAGAAGACCTCCGCTCTGGATGGAAACGAAGAAGAACTACTTGGTTCAATATCGGAAATAATATTCAGTTCTGCGGCTTTCGTAAATAGACTAAGCAATGCAGAAGTTTTAACTCCGTCTGACTATTACGATAATTGTGGTTATTCAATTCGTATGTTTAAGAATATGACGCCACCCCGACAAAAAATTAATAGGAAAAATATAATTTTTCTGAACCGGCGTCCACATAGATCTAGTGCTGAGAAACAAAGAAATTGCGTTGTTGGCGCAAGCGGCATTTCTTTCTGTGAACCAAATTTCATCAAGGAAAACGTCCTGTTTTCTTTTTTCTTTGTGATACGAATATTTTATCAAAACATATGTAACGTTCTTCCAATGTGACGTTTTTTTTTTTTTGTGTCGACAAATATTGGACCTGGGTGGACCTCGGTTCAAAAATAAATACCGCTGTTTTTCTCTTATTTTTCATACAGGTAGAGTCTTCTAAAATTTTCGTATTTTATCAGAATCGCTAGATTTATATTCGCACGGAGTTTCAGTTGTTTATGTAAGTCGATGAGCAGGGTATATTTACTTTATCGCGTCATTATATTTACTTATATAAGACTGATATATATCAGTATATTTTCTCCCTATCACTCTTCCACGTCCAGGTAGCAATACCCGTAACGTCATACCGGATGTGAAGACTTGCTGGCTCTCCATCTTCATTTTCAGATGATGCCTTATCTCGTTGAGCAAGGAGACATATTCATCAATGACCTGGGTAAACTTGCCGATGAAAGAAGGGAGGAATCAATGCTCGACGCTTTCCAAGCTCTTTCCATGGACTTCATATGTCGAGCCGCTTTCGGAATAGACACCGACTTTCAGCATAACATCAAAAATCCTTTCTACGTCCAAGCTGAAGGTGTTATTCCAGGGATGATGAAAGGCCCTTTTCACGCCGTAGCACGTAAGATATTTTATTTAGGCATACGCACCTTGTTCCTCCATATTACATTTTATGTGGCAGGACATAGCCAAAAAAAATGTTTTGTCTATTGCGCAAGTGCCAAGGATAAGTAATCTCTTTTGGGTGAAACTTTTGGGTGAGTAATCTCTGTTGGGTGGAAAGAGGGACAAAGGACAAACACAAATATCCAAACACAGCTAGGTGACTGGTCCGCAACCAAAAAAATCTGCCTGGTCCGGGTATCAAACCAGGGACCTCTCATTTTTCAGCGGAGCGCTCTACCAAATGAGCTAACCAGGGATTAGACGTCAGTAGAGCAAACATGTTTTATCAGCTGCCACCGGTCTGTCTGACACCAACAAGGGTGAAATGCTTGCATTTTAAGGTTATGAATGCAATGCAATTAAATTTTCGTCATTAATATTGTTATTTTTATCCAGCTCTTCTGCACCTTTGAATTAAATGCATTATGCGCATAACCTTAAACCACAGGCCGTTCACACTTGCTAGTGTTAGACAGGGGGCAGCTGATAAAACCTATTTGCTCTACTGACGTCTAGCTCCTGGCTAGCTCAGTCGGCAGACCACTCCACTGGGAGAGGTCCCTGTTTCGATACCATGACCAGACGGATTTTTTCGGTCGCGCTCCAGTCACATAGCTGTGTTCGGAAATTTGTGTTTGTCTTTGGCCCCTGTTCCACTTCTCGAGAGATTAATATCGTCATTCTCTTCCAGAAATCCTTGCACCTTTACATTAATTAAATTATCCTGAAGTAGTTATTTTTTTTAAGTACAGGTAATGAGTGAAATCGAACCTGATCGAGAAGTCGCTTGAGTTTAGAAGGGTTTAAAACATCAATTGAAAACGAGCGTATTGGTATATTAAATACGAATAGACGAACGAATAAAACATAGACAACAAGGACGTCCTCTATGTTTTATCCCTTCATGTATTCGTGTTTATTCGCATTCGTTCTCGTCCTCTGTTATAACTTTTATGGTATTCCTATTTAAAACATAGTGTTTTATTTGTAGCGATGATTAGGAACTTGCTTTTTTACATTCTTAAAATTGGTTGTTAACAAAATCTACCCAATTCTCCATCACCCGTGTTCAACACTTTTAAGGCACCGATCGTGCAACAAAATGCTCCTTTCATCTCAAATTTTGTCGCACTTCTGGCTAAGCTATAAAGCCTTTATCTGCATGATTAACGCTATTCGATGTTAAAGAGCATGTAACTTGAAAAGTAGATGAATGATTGTAAAAACGTGCTATTCTAGAACGAAAATTCCGAGAAACAAAGGTTAAAAGCCTATGTGGCTTTTAACATTTATACCACTCAATATTTTACAGAGGGTATTAAGAAAGTTAAAACGAGTTGTATCTAGCCGTGTAAAATCAGAACGTTCCGTCGATAAATTTCTTTTGCATCCATTTTCTTTTTCAGAGTGCACGACAACATTTGGACGATTAATTAAGCCCTTATCATGGCTGAATCGAATACTCGGAAGTTTCACCATGGAAATATTTGCTCGGGAGATGAAGAAGGTTGTAAGACTGAGAACGCAAAATCACGGTGTATGTGTTCCTTTTCGTGGCATTTATATATTTAAAATGTCACAAATATGTGACACCAAAGACTTGAATTTTTTTAATAACCAAATAGAGGCGTGTGTTATTTAAACGATAAAGTTTATGGTAATGACATTAAATCTGAAGTCACTTCTGTCGGCCAATTTAATATATGCTAATAGTTTAACTATACTTAAGAAGTTAATATAGTATATTTGTTGTTATCAGCAAAATAATTGGGTTGTGAAACTAAGAACGCGAAATCTAGCTGCATGTGTTCTTTTTTCTCCGTATATGCATAATAAGTTAAAGATGTCGCACCACTGATTAAAATTTATTTTTAAGACTTGGAAATCGAAGGTGTTTAGCTTTTACCTGAGAGGTCTACGGAATTTAAATTAAATTGAAATGCACTTTGATTGTTTAACCTCGATGTTAATAGCTAAAATATGTTTGACAACTCATGATGTGTTGGCTGCAGACATGTACAAATTACTCAGAAAGGTAGTTAAGTTACTGAGTATCGACCTCAAAAGTAATCGCAGTAAAGTAAAAATTACGCATTTGTAATAGTAATTGAGTAAACTACTCACTACTGTAAAAAAGTACCGAGTTACTTTGAAGTTACTTTCGAAGTTACTTTTTTATATGCTTGGGGTTGTAAAATGAACAGCAATCTTGATCTTTGAAAAACCTTGCGAGCCTAAATAAATGCAGTCATTTTACGGCTTACGGTTTTACCAAAATAGTTTATTCGCTCGCAGAAGCAATTGACTTTCAAAGATTTTATCGGAGAGTTTTTCCCTTTTCCTCCTAAAAACGTCCCCGGTCAAGCTAAAAAGACGTTCCACCGACGCACAGGATGGAACGGCAGCGTTGAATTTCAGAGACAGGCTGTGCAGGGTCGTTTAAGCGAGTCTCGCCATCTTAGGTGTCCACCACGAAACATTTGAGGTTTGCCTCGGCTAGAGGGTCTTTATAACAAACTCTCCTCCTTTTTTTCTTTTTTTTTTCTTAGGCAAGTTGAAATTGTTATGACTGGCCCCGCTTTAATCTTACAACATTCGGAGACTACGCTGATCGAGTGCACCCAACCGTCAAGGGTTCAAGTCTCACGCCATGACGATGAGATCATCCGGACGACTGCGCGTCTCGTTGCAGTGATAGTGCTACGCTACTTTAAAAAGAAAATTATTGTGGTTTAACAGAAAATGAAACGAAGTACACCTCGCCGCTGCCGCCGGGTCCAACAAAAGCATCTTTCAAGAGTGGCTCGCAAGCCTCGCCGGCGACTAGGGTATCCTGACACTCCTGACAAGTAAATCTGTTTCAACAAAGAGGAGGTCTCCCTGGAGTGGAAGGTCGGAAGGACGCGAAGGATTATGTGAACAAGCACCGTCGCTCGTACAGTTGCAGCTCGAAGCGGGAGCGTGCTCCCATGAACGGATTATCCGTGTCTGCGTTTGTGCGCGGGGAGTCCGGCTTTGCAAGGGAGTATGCGCTGACGACGAGGCGACCATGGGAACAGGCGCCCAGCTGCGAGGTCATTTCAGTCGCGCTTCCCGTGGAACCTCCAAACCGCTTGAGGCAGAACTCACTAAAAGCAGACAACATGAAAACAACAACAACCCTCGGAGTGTCCCCGTCTTTCACGGTTGCAGCTGGAGCCGCGGCGCCAGCGTGCATTACCGGATTAGGTCAATACCCGACCAAGGCTTGTTATACTTCGTTTCAGCTCCGGTCCGAGCGCGGCCGATGTTATGAGCCGAAGGGCCAATCAAACAGCGAAAGAGGCATCACGTCATGGCGTGTTCTGCAGCTAAAAGTACCAGCCGGTATTCGCCGTCTCTCTCAGTGCTCCTCCACCGGCTAGTCCTATCAAGCGCGGAGAGCACGCCATGACGTTGCGCTTTTTGCGCTGTTTGATTGGCCCTTCGGCTCATAACATCGTCCGCGCTCGGGCCTAGGCTGAAACGAAGTATAAGCATTTCTTCCTGCGTTCGTGCGCGCCGGTGTTATATTTTGGCTGCTCGTCGCTACCTTGGCCCAAGGACGCTTGTGATACAGTTTTTGCGGCTGCCGAGTTTAAGTGCGTGGGAACGGAATGTGATGTTGCCCCATGCTCGGGAATGCCACTTCATCTGCCGGCGTCTTACTTATTTCTGCACTCAAACTTTTGCGATGAGCAACATTAGCACTACATTTCGAAAATAGTTAGTAATTTGAGTATAAATTACCTGAAAAACGCAGTTAAATTAAACTACTAATTACTCAAATACAGTTGTAATTGAAAGTTACCAAGTTACTCGGAAAAGTAGTTAAACTACAGTAGTTTGAGTAGAGTAGTCGAACTACGTCCATGTCTGGTTTGCCGTTATCAAGGAGCTTGCGACTGTACCCCAAACGTGTTTAGGTCTTAACAGTTTAATATATTTTTGCTATAGCCGAGACAAGCAAGCCGCTCCTAAATTAACAAAAGATTAAGCCATTTCACCACCAATCCTTTGCTTCATAAATGTTCATATGCTAAATTATCAGTTTTAAAATGTAATGATCTATAGGTACCAATTAAAACGTTTTGTTCCGCAAATCAAGCAAATGCAGGTCGACTTCATTTCTGTTTAGCATCCTGATACTTGTAAATTGTATTTTTTTAACTAAGGATCATCTAATCTCTTTAGTTTAATTGTGTATAACCTGGTAATTGTTTTACATGCATTTTTACCTAGGTTGATAGTTTTTCGGGTTGAGTTTTCTACCTAAGTGTAATATATAGAGCACTTGTAATAAACGGCGATATTCCTTGCAGATGCAAAGAAATGATATGTTGCAAAATTTCTTGGAAGCGGAAGTGATTAACAAGTACCCCTTCAATAAAATCGCATCAATGAACGCCAAGAACTCAGAAGGTAAAATATAATATTTATTTTTAATAAATACATCACAGAGCAATGACCTTTCTTGAGCAATTTAACATCCGAGTGTGTAAAATATCAAGCAAAATAAAAAAAAAACACGATAAATATGACGAATGTGGCTCATGGCACTAGATTCTTAGGTATTCAAACTGTTTACCATCGCTGCTATACTAGAAGTTCAATTGGAAAAGGTTCCAACAAGTAATGTAGAAATAATTTATCAAGAAACAAGACTCTAACGTTTCAACTGCACGATCGTTCACAGAAGTCTGAATACTATACAAAAGTACAAATATAAATTTGAGAACAGCGCGGGTTTTAACTAGAATTTCTTCCCTGGCCTTGAGTTTACTCAAAGTATGGAGATGTTGTTTTTGTCTGGCGTGAGTCTTTAAAGATCTTCCTTGGTTTTCTTGAAGTGATCTATTCGCTTAGGCTTGTTCAAGTTACGTTAATTTTGAAACAGCTTCCTTGATGTTGCGTTATAAAATGCAACATTAAGGATGAACACAAAGCAGTCTATTGTTCTTCCAAACTTCTGACTTTATAACACCGAAAGTAATTTTTTTATTAGAGAATGTGCTTATGGGTTAGATTCAATTGATACGTGTAACGCTTGAGTGGGACGAAAAAATGTTACACGCTTATTGATGTGCATATTGATCAAAGGCAGGACGTCGCAGGATGTGCATATTGATCCAAGGCATATAGAATGCATCATTAGTCAAAAACTTTAATCCATGTTCATATCTAGGAATAACACCTAAACCAGAGAAATTAACCGATGAACTCGGCGGAATTAGAATCCCGTACTACGCGCAGTCCGACACATTTGCTCGGCGATACAAGTAAGAGAGGAACGAGAGTACAAGCAACGAGACAAAGTAGGATTTGTCGCAGACGGTCGTCTGCGGTAGCATGCGACTGTCCGCGGCGAGTAATTCCTTGTACACCATATACGAGGCCCAGAATACTTAGTCCGCAGTCGACCATCGGGGGAGAGTTGTACTTAGTCCGACACACTAAATCCGCAGTCGACAGTAGGCACCGAATTCTACTTACTCTAGAATACCTAGTCCGCAGGCTACAGTCGCAGGTGAGCTATACTTTGTCCAGCGTATACTGTGTCGGCAGTCGACCATCGGCGGTTTTTCATACTTAGTGCAGGGTACTTGGTCCTCGGACGACCGTTGGTGTCTGGGGTGCTTAGTACAGCATACTTAGTACGCAGGCGACAGTTGCCGGCTCGCCGGCGTGTTAGTCCCAGTCCAGCATACTTGGTTTGCAGTGGACCGTCGGCGGCGAGTCATACTTTGTTCAGCGTACCGAGTTTGTGACAGTTGCCGACAACTCGTACTTTGTTCATCGCACTTAGTCCGTAGACGATCGGCGGCAGCGAGTAAAGGCCCGTTCACACTCTTGCGACCTCTTAAGGCCCGTTCACACTCTTGCGACCAAGTGCGACCGAGTACGACTGAGAGAGACGAGTTCTCTTAAAACTTGTTAAAGGTTTTTAAAATGAGGAAACAAACTGGCATTGTGGCGCCATCTATGCGGTGACCCTGGAACTGCATTTCACAAGAGCGAAGGTTTTGCGGGATTTCCGAGGTCAAATGTGCGTAATACCCATAGAAAGGCTCGTTTATAACATTGACAAAAGTTTTTCGAGCCAAAAAAGAAAGGATAATGCGCGAGAAATAAATAAAAAAAAAATATATGCCGGACCGCCGAGTTTACACTGCTTCCCAATAGATGGCACCAGTGTGTTTTCTGGTTTAAGAAGTTGTAAGGAACCTAGGTTTAAGAGGTCGCAAGAGTGTGAACGGGCCTTTAAACCTGGGTTCCTTAAAACTTCTTAAACCAGAGAACACACTGGCGCCATCTATTGGGGAGCAGTGTAAACTCGGCGGTCCGGCATATTTTTTTTATTTCTCGCGCATTATCCTTTTTTTCTTGGCTGTAAAAACTTTTTTCAATGTTATAAACGAGCCTTTCTATGGGTATTACGCACATTTGACCTCGGAAATCCCGCAAAACCTTCGCTCTTGTGAAATGCAGTTCCAGGGTCACCGCATAGATGGCGCCACAATGCCAGTGTGCTCCCTCATTCTAAAAACATTTAAGAAGTTTTAAGAGATCTCGTCTCTCTCAGTCGTAGTCGGTCGCAAGAGTGTGAACGGGCCTTAATGCTTAGCCCAGACGATATTTATGCCTAAATCCTGTCGCAGCCAACGCTTTTAACAGATCGAGTTAATCGAGCACCGCCAAAAGCGCAACGTCCGGCGATTATTTTCTCTGTGTTTGCTTTCGCCGGCCAAATAAATCACACCAGAAAAAAACGCAGAAGGATGGCGCCTTCGTTGTGCGCGATTGGTTTCTTCGGTGAGAGCAAATCTTCAAAGAAGATTAACGCCGTGACGACGCACCTTTGCCACTCCTTCATTGTCTCCATCGAATCGTAGCGTCGGCGGCGGTCGTGAAACGGAGCATGGTATGGAAGTGACTGTCGGCGGCGAGTGATGGTGCTTTGTCCAGCATATCCTTAGTTCGCAGCGAGATTATCGTCGGTGCGCGCAGCTGGTTCCCACTAAAGTCACAGGATCTGGGAAAGCAGCGCCATTGCCTTCCCACCTGCTAGCCGGACACGAACAAATGTCAACATACGTACGACAAAACCTATCAAGGTGATTGACTCGTCGCTGTTGGTTGCCATGGTGATCGCCCTTTTGGACATTTTCAAAGCTTGGTACGACTGGTCGTTAAGACCAGTCGTACCAAGATCGCTATGGAGCATCATCGTACTGAAAACGTTCCTCGGCCGATATGAGCGTCTTTGGCACTGTGCATGCACAGGTGTACGGGACTCTGCATGCCGTACACCTTCTTACAGCCATCACACACAACGTCAGTGCTTCAAGGCATTGAAAAATAATGTTACTGTCTTGAAACACGCAAGCAGAGCAACATAAGTGAAAGAGATCTGGAGAAATAAGCATGAGCGATTCGTTTATTGGATGCACTGTGCCAAGGACGCTCACATCGCCCGAGGAACACTTTCAGTAGCTTGATGCTCCATAGCGATCTTGGTGCGACTGGTTTTAACGACCTTTTCGAAGCTTCGCAAGGGTTCAAAATGGCGATCATCATGGCGACCGACAGCGATGAGCGAATAACCTTGAGAGGTTTTGTCGTCTGTTTGTTGGTATTTGATTGTGTACGGCTAGCAGGTGGGAAGGCAAGGACGCTATTTTCCCAGATCCAGTGACTTTAGCTCCCACCAAAGCGGTGGATGAGTTTGAATTTTATAAACATGTACCGCCAAGTTAGTGCATGCTGGGACGCATTCGAGTCAAAAATAGCGGAGCCTCGCCGCCAATTGTGTTAGTCGCGGCGGCGCGGCGTCGTCACCTACAAAGATACCAACGGACGAGTGCTCGCGAACATCGGCGCGTCACCGGCGGTTACAGCAGATCGATGGGAGCATGCGGGTCTGGATGTGGGTGTGCCATGGGCCAAAAATGGCGACGCATCACCGGCATCCAATGGGAGCGCCCGCGGCACGATCGAACGATTGCGGTACTTGGATAAGTCATTATATCCAGTGCTTTAGTTCCCGACGAGGCGTATACTGGAAAGGACTTAATTTTCGCGAGGAACTAATTTCCGCAACTTTCGCGAATCGCATACCATTCGCGAAAAATAGGTCCCGCGAACCATTCCGGTAAAATGTTAACGGATTGGAATCTATATTAAGATCCCACTGCGTCGCAAAAATTAGAACCGGTGAATTATTTAAGAACAATTCAGCTTTGACCTTGCGGGCACCCGCTCTGCCGCCGCCTGATTGTTACTAGACGCCGGCGCCCGAGGGCGGCTCAAGGGCGAGCCGTCGGTACCCTCGGTGGCCGATCGGAGCTTGTAGTGGCCGGCTGGTGGCGGAGGCGGACGTCCGCAGCCCCCCTTCAAAGGAGCCCGACCCCCGAGGGCCTGGACGGCGTGAATAGGGAGCCGGCAGGACACCCACGTCGGGATGAAGGCACCCGTCGGCCTGGTGCCGGGAAACAAGGGGTGCGAGAGAAAGACTGGCGGTGCTCGCAGGGTCGGTGGGGACTAGGAGTGGTGTGACGGACTGCATGCTGGAAGGACGTGTGGATTGTGGGTTGCGACCAGCACAGACAAGACAACTCATCAATGTGAGTCATTAAGTGTTTACATCGAGAGTGGTGCTATGTCACTCGGAGTGTGGGGAGCTGGACGCGGATAGCCGCGTGTGACATTATCGGACCACTGCCCCGAAGTCCACGCGGAAACCAGTACCTACTCGTCGTCACGGACCATTTCTCGAAGTGGGTCGAGCTTTTCCCACTCAGGAAGCTAGTGTCTGCAAGAATGTGGGAACGACTGTTAGAGACAATTTGTCGCTGTGGTTTCTCTGCTTCTCTGATCACGGATAACGTGTCGGTGTTCACAAGTAAGGCCTTTGTGGACTCGTGCCGGTCACTCAATATCCAACACAAGCGAACAACGCCTTACCATCCACAGGCGAACATCACCGAGCGGGTGAAGCGGAACCTGAAGGTGATGCTGGTGACACTCACCGGATTGGGACGCGAACATATCCGAGCTCGGGTTTGCAACCCGAACGACGGTAAAACGATCGACTGGACTGACACCCGCGTACCTGAACTTGGGAAAGGAGCTGACGTATCCCTTGGAAAACAGATTCCGAGAGTGTGGGCATGCTGACCTCCGCCCCATTTCTCGCTACGCATTGGAACGCCGCGGCCGACTCGAGGATGCCCTCCGCACGGACAGGGAGAATCTCGACGCTGCCCGGCTGGAGCAGGCCGCCCAGTACGACAAAACGCACAGCCACCTGGTTTACGCCGTTGGGGATATGGTCCTTAGGCGAACACACCCTCTCAGCAGCGCGGCGCAAGGTTGTGTAGCGTCGCTGGCACACAGGTGGGAAGGGCCGTACCGGGTCGCGGCACGACTGTCACGTTTGACCTGCCGACTTGCTCGCCTGGACACGGGCGAAGAGTCCGGCTCGGTGCACGTGGGCGACTTGAAGACCTACTGCCTCCGCGATCCCGAAGATAGCGACGGGGAGGCAGGCGGGACAAACAACCCTGGGGAAAGTCCTCGGAGATACAATCTCAGGGCCAAAAGGCGCTAGTGTATCGCATAATTTAACCACCTCTCTTTCCCGCACAGAACGTCTGCCACCGGCGGTGCACGGGGCCGCCCCACCGCAGCGAACGCCAAACTCATTCATGGACTACAGAGAGGGTTTACTACACCCGCCCACGGTCCAGGGCTGGTCGCGGGTCCTGGAACCGGAGGGACGACAATCGGACGCCTGAGGACTTCAGGCGCGTCCGGTCGGGCGGGGAGGGCGCTCAAGCTCCCACTCCGTGCAACCGCCTCCGGCTGGGCCTAAACTCCTGGAGGAGCCCAAGAAGAAGATGCGGTCGGCTGCCACGTGAACGGTGGTCTCCGGGAGGGGGCAGTGGGTTACACGTCCCACGCACGATAGAAGGACCAGTACCGCCCCTACCGAGGGGCCAACCCGTCCGAGGTGAGGCCACCTTTCCGCGGCTTGACCCTGACGGACCTGGACGGCGAGCCACCAGCCGTCTACAGGGCGGAGGAGGGGGCGGCCTTCTGTCCGGTCTGCGACGTCTTGGTGGTGTGCCAGGAGGCCCACACCGGGGGCAAGCTCCACACGGAGAGGGATCAGTGGAAGAAAGACGCAGCGGCAATGGCCGCTGCCACCGCGGGGGACATCGAGGCGGCCCTCAAGCTGCTACGGAGGGAGCGTCCGGAGCTTCTGACTTCGGCCCCAGTCTTGGTGCCCCCTACCGCGTCGATCCCGCGGGCCCTGGAGCTACCGCCGCTGAGGCAGTCCGAGCTAGTCCGGCCTGCCAAGTTCATCTGCCCCTCCCCGGCGGACTCATCTGCCGCCGGGCCCGGAGGGCCTATTACTCGGAACCCGCCGTCGCCGTCCTAGATGACCTGGACTCTTTCTTGGCGGTGTCAGGGTCTGAGGATTGAGGGGGGGGGGGGGGGGAGGACCCACTCTGCCGCCGCCTGATTGTTACCAGACGCCGGCGCCCGAGGGCGGCTCAAGGGCGAGCCGTTGGCACCCTCGGTGACCGATCGGAGCTTGTCGTGGCCGGCTGGTGGCGGCGGCAAACGTCCTCGCCCCCCCCCCCCCCCCTTCAAAGGAGCCCGACCCCTGAGGGCCTGGACGGCGTGAATAGGGAGCCGGCAGGACACCCACATCGGGATGAAGGCACCCGTCAGCCTGGCGCCGGGAAACAAGGGGTGCGAGGGAAAAACCGGCGGTGCTCGCAGGGTTAGTGGGGACTAGGAGTGGTTCGACGGACTGCATGCTGGACGGACGTGTGGATTGTGGGGTGCGACCAGCATAGACACGACAACTCATCAATGTGAGTCATTAAATGTTTATATCGAGAGTGGTGTTGTGTCACTCGGGGCGTGGGGAGCTGGACGGGGATGACCCCACAACCTAAACCACGAAAAATTCAGCCCGCGAAAAATAAGTCGTTTACAGTAGTTCCACTGTAGACCAGCGACATCAAGGGTTGAATCATAACTAGGATTCCGCGTTTTCGGGATTTTTATACCGTTCGATTTTGAGGGTGCTTTTTCGGAGTTCGTTTTTTGGCGAAAGTTTGGAGTCCATCGGAGTTTACGTTTCGTTAGATTCCCAATTCTCCGAAATTCAGTTTATTTTTGCCGTGTTTGGTCATTTCGTTTCAGTATGAATAAATAATATCCGGGTGTAAACGTATGCTACATTCAAGAGAAAGCGCTTGTATCAATTTGGTTTTAGATGGATTTTGCGTTCACGCCATTCCCATTGGCAATAGTAATTTGTTCCACGACAAAAGTTGTGCACGAGGGCAACTTCGATAAATGTCGATATCTTAAAAGCAATAAAATGTTCGTGATAGTCGCTGGGAACCTTATATTTATCCCATCCTATCCATGTACCTATTCCGCGGTCTCGAGGGTGGTGTAGTAAAGGGTGTAATGTAGAAGCTTCAACTGTCCAACCGATCTTCCCCGTTCTGTAAGATATTTCGATCATAGCTTTCAGTGGTACAGAAACACAACTCGTCCTTCCTATCAAGAAGACATAGTAGGGCCTAAACTGGGACCCGGAACAGTGCCCTTTGTCATTACCAGAAAGTACCTGTTGTTCTGAATGAACATTGAGGAGATAAGCGGCAAGTCCCCTTTTGTCAATGGTCCGAGATTTGAAAGAAAACTAACTGGGGTGGCATTTTGTCGTGACCATTGATCTGTGCACTGGCCAAACTTAAAATGCGGCATATTTTTTTTTTTATATTTTGACTGGCATTGGTGCATCGAAACTCGCAGTTTGTCGGACAAATCTGAATGTACGAAAAGTTTACCGGCGTGTGTTTTCCTGAGGTAATCGCATTTATCTCCAAAACACGGAACCTTAATCATAACGTGCCAAGGAATAGCGCAGCGGGGCTATGACTTCACAGCTTCCGAAAAAAAAATCAAGTGATAAAGTGAAGGGCACGATAAACCTTCCCCCTTTGCGATTAACTCCAGTTGTGACAAGGGGTTCCTAAAAATGCAAGAGTACTTAGAATTCAAAGTCCTACACAGAAACAGAAGCTATTAAGAACTTATCATTAAGACATGCTCTTCACACACTGTTCCTGAAGAAGCTAAAACCTGCCTGGGTAATTCTGAAGAACCCAGAGATCAAAGGAGTGTGTTGTGTGTACAGCTCATTCGAAACCACCCAAACCTCAAACATGATGAAAAATGGAGCACAAAGAGGCAAGGGCAAACGAGGAAGGAACACAGAACATAGACAGGCGCGTACTCACAACTCTTGTATATTAGGTGAAGAAAGGAAAGTTGAAGCACGATTCATTTATAACAGGGGACACCGGAACCAAGAGGGTATGCAGTTCAGTAACAGTCAAAATTTTGCAAACAGGCAACTTCTTTTTCGCTCAAAGCAACCGAGCGCTGACTAACGCAGCAATCGGCCAGACTCAAGATGGCAAACGCCTAGAAACAGCTCGCGCGTTTTTTTTCTTTAAGCGCCGAATGATTGATGTCTTTCTAAAGGCGGTGTGGACTACAGGTCTCACAATTCACTGAAAGGTGACATCCGACAGTTGATGTTAAAGAAAGATTGTTCTCTCGCAGTCAGTCATTCAGACTCCGTCCAGTCTGTCCGACATAGCATCTTCCACAAGAAAGGAAATTGTTATATACAACGCCCGATGAACAGGTAACGAAAGGCCGCACATATTTTTGTGGCACGTGTTTTCTGATAATATTTCCGCTTTGGCGCGAACCTTAAAACAAACTTTTCGCATTTTTTAGGGGTTGACAGTACTACGGGCACATCATACCTACTTACTATTTCTTTTAGATTTTTCGATATTTTGTGTCGATATGGCATAACCAGCACACGGTTTTCTCAACAGGGCGCCTGGTTTTTTCACCTCCATTTACCTTCTTTACCCGCGTTCCAATCACTTCCATTAAGACGTTATTCAGGAACCCTGAAGATTTTAGTCTATCGATTTGACCTTAATGAAAGTAATAGGAACGCTAATAAAGAAGGCAAAAGGGGATGGGAAAACTAGGTGCCCTGTTGACGAAAAGCGAGTGGCGGTTATGCCGTATCTACACAAAATATCGCATAATCTAAGTGGAAAGTAGGTATGGTGTGCCCGTAGCACCCTCAGCCACTAAACACATGCGACAAATTTGTTTAAAGGTTCGCCCAAAGTGGACAAATTGTCAAAAAACACGTGTCACACACAAAAAAAAAACATGTGCGGCCTTTCGTCCCCTTAACGAAAAAATAGTCAGAGTGCAGGCGAGCTGGTGTAAGTTGAACATGATTGTAAACCTGAGACTGGGGCAGAAAAGAGAACACAACAGAAGGTAGTAAAAGAGGAGGCAACGTTGCCTCCTCTTTTACTACCTTCTGTTGTGTTCTCTTTTCTGCCCCAGTCTCAGGTTTACAATCATGTTTCGTGCCCTGTTCGTCGCGGGTTGTATGTAGCATTCCTCTTTCCTGTGTAAGAAGCTATGTCGGACAGACTTGGCGGTGTCTGAATGACCGGCTGTAAGAGCACGATCTGTCTTTAACATATACTGTAGGAGGTCAACTTTCAGTGCGTTGTAAGACCTGTACGTGCACGCCATGTTTAAAGAAAATCTTCAATCATTGGGCGCTTTAAAGAAAAACAAACGCGCGAGGTGCTCTAGACATTTACCATCTCGAGTCTGGCCGATCGCTGCGTTAGTCAGACGTCGGCTGCATTCAGAGAAAAAGAAGTTGCCTTTTTGCGAACATTTGACTGTGACTCAACTGTATACTTCTTGGTGCCCACCCTGTCATGAATGAATCCTGTTTCATCTTTCCTTTCTTCACCTAATATACCAGACTTGTGAGTGCGGGCCTGCCTGTGTTTAATGTTCCTTCCTCGTGTGCCCTTGTCTTCTTGTGTGCAATTTTCCGTTATGTTCAACGTTCACCAACTCGGCCAGCTTACGAGTTTACTACACCCAAACCTCCCTGCAACGAAGCACAGCAAATCACAATTCAGGCATAATACAGGCACCACCGTCTCTGTGTTCCTAGGGGATATCATAATGATGAAGGCAAGTTTAATTTTCGTTTTATTTTTGAGGCCATTGAAAATTTAGAAAACAAAAGCTGATTTTCACAAAAAATGTCTGTATGATACAGGCGAATGATAATTGGGAAGCACTCGAATAACCATGGCGTTTCCCTCTAAATATCCACTTTTTATTAATCAAATTAATATATACCTTGAAATAAGATGGTTGCGTGGTAAAGACTTGCTCGATATTCCGAATTGTTCTATGTCCAAACAACAAAAACATAATTTTTTTTTAAAAATTTTTATATATCAGAGATTGTCCACCTTCGTAAGTTTGAAATTGATCTCACTGAAAATGTTAAGGTATTCACATAATTTTCTAAGCCCTCTCACTGCTTTCGGAGTTCCTTTTAAATGGTCAATATTTACAGCTCTAGGACGAAGAAAGAAAGGTGGTAGTCTTTTAGAGAAAACTAGAAACCAGTGTTTTTCACATAGGCCCCGCTGGTTTTGCTGAGTTCACTGCACGGAGTTTCACACCATCTTGCTTCAACAGTTTTATCTTACTGATGACCTTACCCAAAGCACTTATCTTACATACATGAAAAACATTGCCAACAGGCAGACAAGAAAACCTTCGTCGTCTCTCCGAAGAAGAGGTGGTGTTGCTGATGACTGTTCTTTTTCTCGGAGGGTAAGCACCAATATATAGACCGCTTTGACTGCACGTGTTTTTATTTCCACTCAGCCATGTTCTTCCATGTTGAATAACAGCTCCCCCGACTTTTCCATTTAGTTCCCATGCAGACGATCAAATATTGGCGTCATTTTTGGTGTCAGTGAGACGCAGATGCCGGGCAAGCGACTCTGTCGACGGCAAAGCTCGATAAGTTCGACCAGCGACGTGTTCGGCCCGACTGAACCCACGCTTAAACTACCCTTTTTTTTCCTTTTGATTTTGGAGTCGCTCTAGGGGGGTTTATAATCACCGCGAGAAGCTGAAGACGGCAGGATGGATCTTTTGTTTAGCCACCTGCAGCTCCGAGCTTTCTGCCTTCTATAACGCTGCGGCGTCACGGTACCTCAATAGTGCGCACGCAGACATAGCACGGCGGAATACTTGGAGCTCGTGACAGGGACCTGGCGCTAGAAACACACCCTTCCCTTCTAAGTTTGTCAGTGACTATAGTGTTGCTACTTGGGTTACCGGCGGGTCGACCTCTCGAGACCCAGCTCGTCTGGACTCTTAATAAAGACGGGCACCTATAAATATAGGGATCCATATTACGCTTGTTTGTGTTGCCGAGTGCTCCTCAAGACACAGTCAACCACGACTCCAAAAAATTAAAGTGAGTAGGAAAAAAAATATCACAATCTCCGCGCATAGAAACTCGTAGGGCGTACGTTCAACAACATGACGTACAGCGATATTTCGAGCCGCACGAGACTCCTATGCCACGCAACATACAGTTTGAGTTCTTGCCGGAATATGCCTGTCCGTAACATCCGTCCGATATCTGTCTATGAACGGGCGCAGTGTTTTCCAGATCCTCCGAGTACTTTTTCACGGCGATCGTCGCAAGCCAAAATAATCGCGAAGAGAAGCGAGCATCGAATAGTGACGGATTTAATTATTTAAATAACCTCAGGACCGATAGTGCAATAGAGAGGGGGAGGACACACAAATTACAATTGAAAAAGGTAACACAATAAGAACCCAAGCAGCACATTATGACCGGCTCAAGCTTGAGCCAGACTGGGCAGCCGGGGAAGTTTCACTGGGCCTAGATTGTTTTGCCCCATGGCGCTAGGCAGCCCCATCCTGGTATACTAGTCTGGTGACCACCGGCAGTTCCCCGTATAGCCATGGACTGGCTCACCGCTGGAATTATGGCCTGGGCCAGGCGGGAAGTCCAGTGGTACCCCAAGCTTGGCTCTTTATTGTACATACAGCATGGGCCAGATTAGTGGCAGAGTGGTCAGCCAAGCTTGGCTAGACAATAGAAATTCAATCCGGACCAGCAGGGCAGCTACCGGCCCTATTGCAAAATTTTGCAAACTGGGCCACTTCAAACGAAATTATTGCCACTGGTAAAATTGGTTGAACTGGACAAACTGAAACTGTGCACACTGGTCTTACTATGAAACGAAACTGTGCATACCGGTCTTACTGCGAAAATGTGCATACTGGTAATACTGTACAACTGTATACACTGGTCCACACCATGCACTTAAACAAGTTTAACCGGTCATATTGACCACACAGGTGGTCAACTAATAAACTTCACTTTATTTCAACAACAAAAAAATAATACTGCAGACCGCAAAAATAAACATAAAACATATTTACAACGCAAAAAAATTTTCATGATACTATTCATGTGTCCCAGTCGGTTCGCGAGATTCTCCACGCCTTCTGGAGTGTCGGGGTTCCGGTGGCGGCAAACATAGTAACCCCACGGCATCTGAAATAAGAATAAACATCAGTAATTAGAACCATGGCAGGTTTATTTGCACCCGTCTGTTCTAAAACAGCATAAAACTAATGCCACAAATAAAAAATATGCATTATCAGAAACAGTATTAGAGGGAATATGGAAGCGTGTGTCAATCGTACGTGTGGTGCCAGTCTCGCGGCAATTAAGTATAAACCGCATGTAAGCGATTTGGCGAGCGACGAGATAAGCGACGACGATCCGTTTCGCTGTCGTTCGGTCACTCGCGCGACGCGGCAAACCACATGAAAGCGACGGGAGCAAGCGACCAAGGCGATGAGCGACGATTTCTAGAAATCCAAAAATTGAGAGACGCGACGAGCGGCCGGGGGAAATCTCCGCCGCTCGTCGCTGACTCTCGTCGCTCGCTTAATCGCTTACAAGCGGTTCAGCCTTTACGCAAAGCAACGCCTAGGAATGAAAAGATCCTGCTGTTGCTACCCCCCTTCCTGCCTCCCCAGTCTGTCGTCCGCTGTGCTACTCGCAACCACTGTGGTAGAGGATCTCTGAAGCTGCATGTACACTGGCGGTTGTATTACTAGCATAGCTGTTCCGAATCGGGTTGCAGAAACGTTCAGTTCCACATGCACGTGATTATGAAAATGAATCCAAATGGTCGAGCCTGCTTACCTGGCTCGCTGGCGCGGAGACAGGGGCCACGTTTACATGAATGCGACTTAGTCGCATCGAATCCAGTTATCGCATTCAATGCGGTCATGTAAACGGCATAATGCGCAAAGAAAGCGCATCGCATTCAAGTCGCTAGACAGAGATGGATCGAGATGGCGAGTGCGCATTCATTCAGCCCATCTAGACGGAGGTCGCATCGCATTTTGGAACGGGAGGATTATGGGAAGGTGCTCGCTGCGGGACCGAGTGAACAGCTGAGAACAAGCCGGCGGCCAACCTCGTCGGCGGCGCGGAGAGCGGTCCCGTATGGTGGCCCGTAATTTTTTCCCGAGAACAAACGCGAGCTTTTATTGCCGTCACAAGTAAGCGGAATATAGCCGATCTACTCGGTGAGGGTGACCCCCGTCCTAGCCTTGCGAAGTACCACTTGCGCGTCCGAAGGGGTCCCAAAAGCTTCGGCGCAAGCACGAACGACACCGAGAGCTCCGAGCACTGTACAGCACTGCATGGTAGCGCAGAACGAGCAGCTCCTACCTCGGTGGCGTTCCTGGCTGCGCAAGAGCCTCTCGGACTCGGGGTCCGGTTGGTCCGGCCGCGATCGGCGAGGTCTGGCGCGGCGAAGCGCGTGTCCTCAAAGCGTGGGTACACACGTCGCCTCTGGTCCAGAGTGACCCGGCGGCCCAGCCTGGACCCCTAAACGCTTGGGTTTTGATGTTTCTTCCGTCTCGTAACTTCTTCCACAGCACCGAAGACAGCGGGAACGATGTTTTGTTCACTGAACGCGTTGAAAGGCCTCCACGTGCGATGACCCGGGAAACGTGGTGCGGCTGGTGCCGGCACTGCATAACTTCGAGCTTTGACACGGCGTGGCGCCACCTTCGTGTAGGGCTTGGTGCGCATTCACGTAAACTTTGCCGCGTCGGCTTCGTTAGAAGAACGAGTGGAGCCGATGCACTGAAGTAGCCTTCATGTAAACGAGGCTAGAGACAGCAATTACCCGCGCTGCAATCAGGACGGAGCGAAGTCCGAACACGCCGTTCTGGGATGCAGCCATTTCGCCTGCGAGCGGGTGGAACTCAGGCAGATGACGTCACCAGTGACAGGAACCATCGGCAGAGACAGCACTCAAGGCTCCGGCAAACTATCTTATTCAAACACAGCTTGAAGACAACTTGTAAGCTCCCCAAGCAGAACAAAATCGCAAACAAAGAAGACCCAACCGTCGCGCCAGATCAGTTTTTTTTTTTTTGTTTCCCGGAACTGCCGCCGCCGCCGACTCAAAACTGGCGCTTCGAGCGGGCGCGAGGGCCGCGCTGATTGGCCCGCGCGCTCCCTGTCCTGGCACGTGAGCAGCTCTCCCCTTTTAAGGCATCCGGGCTCCGCGCGGGGACACTGCATCATCTCCGGTCCCGGGGCATTGGCGCATTCCAGGCGCCTGGCTAATCTGGGGGTGCGGGCTTTTTCCCGCGCTTTTCCAACATCACGTGGGAGGCTCCCCGCCTCGGGCACTTGCGCTGGAAGCGGCTTCTCGGTGCAAGCCAGGGTGGATAAAGGCCGTGGTAAAAGCGGTAAAGTTATGAAGTTCAAGTGGGAACTATTTGCAGAGAGCAATATGAACCCCTATGAAGCGACTGCATGACTGAATTCTTGACCCCTCACCAACTATTATTGCAAGCTGCGTACAACTGTACATGCGTCAAAATAAAGCTTTTATTTGTCCTATTAATCTGTGATGCGACATCCGCATAGAAGAAATGCACTGTAAAATCCAGACATTTTCTCTGGTAGCTGTGGCATGCTTCATTACAGAAACACAAGTTTGCCTGCGGAATTGGTAAAAACTTGTTTTGTCAGATTGTTTCTTTTTTTTTTTTCAGTGTGAGCCGTTTGGAGTGTAAAAGCACAATTCGTTCATGGAGAAAAAATGTGATTAATGTGGTTTTCCAGCTTGGGAGTTAGATTTGAAAGAGTGACACCAACTCCATCCCAATGGAAAAGGCCAATTGGATGGATTCCAATGGTTAATTATTTTAAACTCGACATGCTACTAGCTTGACCAGTAGAACGAGCACTTTCTCCAGTTCCGCTGGTATGACTTCTTTAGATACCATGAAACCAGTTTTATTGCCACTGGTAAATATTTGACTGCCAGTTAGAAGAGTTCGACTGCTAGTTGAAACTGTTTGGCTGACAACTTGAACTTTATGACACCAGTGTCGCCAGTTCAAGCTACCAGTTTTGCCTGGCTAACTACCAGTTTGAACTGTACAATTGACAGTTCAGCCAACTCAGCTGCCACCTTGGCCTGTTCATATTACAAGTTCAACCAATATCGATAGTTTGATTTCCAATTTTCCCGGCACGATTCCACTACAACCAGTTCATTTCGGGTTTGGCCTGTTCATATCCAAACCGTTTTCAAATCGTTTTTCTCAATGAGAAAAACGTGTTCATTTTTGTGTCTCTAGCTGAAACAGACTTCTTGCACTGAAACGTCGCTTTCTAGTGCGAGGGCTCGTGCCACAAAGCATCAAAAATATGTTAAGAGAACGCTCATACGAATAAAAAAAGTAAAAAAAAGTAAAACGAACTATAGAGTAACAGTAGCTTTCAGCGGGAATTCTGGGTCCAATAAAATACGAGCTTGAGCCAAGGAACATTGCATAGCGGCAGTTCCCTGCCATTCCTTGGCTCACTCTATCTTTTATCTGGCAACATGCCCGAACAATGGCTGTTGCTCGTATTGAGTGGACCAGGGAATACCCATGAACCACCATGGAACCTCAAAGCTTGGCAGAGGCATATCAACCTTCGCCATCTCTGATCGAGGAAAATCAATAGACAGCCAGGGTGCATCAAATACTGGCAGCGGCCTGTTTACCCTGGCCATCAATGACCAAGGAAATTGATTGGTGAACCAGGAAAGACGTTCGCTGGTAGTTCCGTGGCTTTCTGGAGCAAGGAAAGACTGAAACGCCAGGCTGGCATACAGGCGGATGGGCAGTCGTCGCCAAGCTATCACAAATAAGTGACAATCCCGGCCCTAGCTAAACCAAGCAAGTGTGTACCTGGGAATACATATAAAGTAACCAATTTTGTTATGAAATACCTATAGTCCGGCGTGTTAGCAAAGGTGGTTGTTTAACTCCTCTTAACATTTTTCAATTCATGGTGTCTTTACCAGAGGTGCTAGAAGGCGGTTGCAATGAGATGACGTTACTTATATGAAGGAGTCCATTATTATTATTTTACAATCGACTCTCTACTACCAATTCTTGCAGGTCGGTTTGTTTATTAATCTACCCATCGGTCTTTATTTGGATTTCATCCGAGACGGCGGTCGAGAAGTCGGCTCGTCGGTGACGAAATCACCCACTGTGAATGCCGCTGGGGAAATCCGAACAGAAAATGAACAAGGCGAGCTTATATCTGGCGTCAAAAAAACCTTGCGGATCGTACATCTTGGGGCGTATCGTCAACAAAGCCGCCTGCTTGCTTCAGCGTTCTACTACCAACAAACACTACGCGTACGTCTAAATGAAAATGAAAAATGGCGGAAATTGCCAAACGTGAAGCCGCAGCCGACTAATTTAAGTTGGATTTTGTAGTTATCTAGCACTCTGTCATGAAAGTGACATACGGTGCACGGATCCAGTAGCGAGAAAATTGCCTCTTCGTCGGAAAATCTTCATGTAGCCTTTACTCTATCAGGACGAAATCAAATCTAATTGTCCTTTCGATTGTTCTATATGGACTGGGAAAGTCCTGATAGATAAATCTAGAAAACACAATCTGCCAGTGTCCGTGCCCTCTGTATGCGTCGTTGACAATCACAAATAAAAAAAAAATTTATTTAAAAAAGAAAACTGTTACGGAAAGTTAAAGAGGCGTGTGACACGTTCAAGCAAATGTCGCTCCGCAGCTAATGAAAATTTTGGTATCAGCAAATAAGAACGCCAGAATACAAATCAGGAAGCGAGCGACGTATACGCGAGAGACCACGCTCCGCATCTTTTAAGCAGCCAGTGACTATATACATTTGCTTGCGAAATGAAAACCACTTTAAAGCCAGTGGTTGAGAACGCAGACGAGGAAATGCACTCAATGATTGATCGACTGCGGCTTGAAATTCGGTATTGTACAGAATCATGAGCTGTGTATCGCATGAAGCACGTTGATAAACTGTTTTGTTCCTTGCGTGAAAAGAAACGCCGGATGGGGCCTGTTAGGTTTACGATTCTTGCTTCCTGATTGGTTGTTGATCGTACTGATCGCACAATAGGGCAGAGTGATTGACAGTGGGGTTGTACTAGAATGCACCAGATTTTCAAAACAACCCGCTCTTCTTAATTTATCAGTGACTATGGTCCGGTTGCTTCTAAAACAAAACCGACATTTCAGCCTTGCGTAAATTCATGAATTCAAAACTATGGCATATTCGTACCCCGTTTTCAAAGAGGTGTTCGATGTTTTACCATTTGAACTCGCGCCTTTTATTAAAACATTTCCGAGAAAAAGTAGGATGGTAGTTCTTTTGTTCTTTCTTTCTTACATTGGTTTAAATACACAAATTCGTAATATAGTAGCCGCGCAAAAGTTTTGAAAGCTTAAAATCACATGATCGAAAGCTCAAATCCCCAAAATTTATGAAACTTGAGAACAATCAAAGTTGCAAAGAATTTTGAAAGCCTGTATTTTTTTAATGCTGAAATGTTAAAGGCTTAAGTAAATAGTAATTTCGTTCTAAAGTATTTTGTTCCCGCAGTTTTCAGACCACGTCGGTAACGCTAAGCTTCATGTCCTTGCTACTGGCTATGCATTCGGAAGTTCAAGAGAAAGTGAGGCAGGAAGTGAAGGCTGCCATTGGAACTTCGGTAATGCTGTTCTATTAGTTCTCCGCACAATAAGAACAAAAAAATCATAATGCGCGACTTGAGGTACACATGGTCCCCCCATCGTCTAGAGAGACGAGGCATGCCTTAACTACATCGTTTAAGGCAATACTCCCTTTTAATTCAATTCCGAGCACAACCCACAGTATGTACTAGTGGAGCCAATTAAAAAGCAGCGTCAAAAGGGAACCGTCAAGGCACTCATCGGTTTGTAGCTTTTTATTAGAAAGTTTGCGTGTGCGACTTTTCCGCGGTATATAGCACAAGCACAGTTCGTACCGAAGGGCCCATCGTACCATACTGTACGCCCGAAGACAGTTGCCTAAAAAAATCTAATATAAAACTGAGTACCACCGATGTTAAGCGACCTCCACGCCGTGGCTCAACTGCCGCGGGCTCTAAATTAAATTTGTTTAATGTTAATTTGTTTCGCTCCACGATTCCTTCTGGCGGTGCGCTAGAGCCGCCTCTTTCGTCGCAACGCCTTTAAATCCGCCACAAACTGCTCCGTTTAGATTATGTTAGCGTGATTCTGGTCTTTCATTTAACGCGCATAAATTAGAAATTTCTTGTCTATAGTTATAGTTGTGGCGTTTGTTCCGCTTATTTTTATTGATGCCGTGAAATGCGCCATACCTTCAAAAGTATAAAATACCAGAAAAAAGAAAAAAAAAAAAACAAAACAACATCATAGCGTGTATTCGTTCACCTATCTAAAATGTCTAAGGTTTCGAACGGGCTGCATGTTTTCCATGTAAATTTGAAATTCCTACGTAACTTACTTATAAGAGGCATACAACTCGGGTGCCCAGAAAAGATGTCTAAGGATAATCTACATCAACAAATACTCTATAATGTTACTGAAGTGAACTAATGTATCATGGTGTAATACGCCAAAACAACATGACGAAAACGAAGGGAGAACTGGACATGACGCGGTGTCTTACCAGCGCCTCGTTTGACACCTTGAATATTTTTGTTGTGTTTTCTTTAAACCATTGATTTTATTTCGTTTACATATACTAATCGCTCGCTCCGCTTTAGTGTACAAAATTTGAAAATCACATAAAGCATGCAATTCATACGTCTATAAAATTTCTCCCAAATGGGTAGCAATCAATATCTGTAAGTGTATATGTGTCTGTATTTCAATCATTGTAACATTTGTCTTTTGGGTAACATTAATGCTGATTCAGCCTCTCTTGGCTTCTTATTGAAACGCGTGCCCTATTACTCACTTGTTTGATAGTGGGTACCTAGATGAATTACTTTAGAGGATAACCATATACAAAAAAAAATTAAATAAAAATAATATTTCTTCCTGATGTATTATCTCGCGCTGGTACATTAGCGTTATGTAACCTATTAGAACATTTCTGCAATCTTCTAATACTACTGTTTTTTGTTTTTGTTTTTAAAACAGGGATGCTGGGATTACGATACCACTATACACAAACTGAAATATACAACCCAGGTCATGAACGAGACGTTGAGATTATATCCACCATCACTCACGTGAGTTGGCATTAATAGGCTAATATTCCTTTTTTGATAAATCCTATCAAACAACTTCATGAACTCAACATTGAATTTTAAAGTGATAAGATATACACAGAGTTCAGGCGTCCCATTTGCTATAATGAAAATGTAACAAAAGGGTGCACAATTATTCCAGATCAATTTATCATATTGTTCTAATTTCTGCTCCTTTAGGGTGTGTCGTAAATGTAGCCATGACATATCTTGAAGCATTGTATACATTATGCGTGTAGTTATTCTGACACTGTCGAAAACTAGAATTCTTTGCACGCATATTTATATTTTACGTGTCTACTATGCACGAAGGCCACTCTATACTTTTCATCTACACCATCTAGGGTAGGATTTATGCCCCAAAAATATATATTGTCCTATACACTCAAAGATACTAGTATATTTTAGTAAATAAGAAATAAGACATACTGGTTAACATAATTAAACCTAATCTAACAGATTCATTTTCGATATTAATAACGTCGCGCTCTCACCAAACAGAAAAAAATGGAAAGTGAGAAGAATGATTGGTGTAGGTATTTGGCAATCTTAAAATCGGCTTGTTTCCTAACGTTTATAATTTCAAGTCGCTGTATTTCTAGCATCCCTTTGCTTCCGTTTCAACACCCAGTGGGTGCACACAATTACTACATTCTTCCAGACCATGATTCTTGTTTACAGGTTTCACACAAGAATTGCAAAAGAAAGTTTTGAATACAACGGCACAACGTTCAAGGCCGGGACCTGCATCCTTGCTCCCGTCAGCCAAATACATAGAGACCCGCAGTATTGGCCCGAGCCAAACAAGTTTGACCCTGACAGGTGCACAAGTGTTTCACCGTTACGTTCACCGTCTACTTGTATACATTCTAGTATTAGCTCCCCTGCGTACTGTTTAGCGTTTGCAATATGTACTTATTTCATTACTCCTTCGTATCTTTTTTTATCGAACTCAGCAAATATTTTTTTTGGTTGATCTAGAACCAGGTTAAAATATTTTAAGGGGGCGAGCGCTAATCAAAGTGAAGCGGTTTTTAACCCTCCTAACTCGAATATGACCATATGCACAGGGCGCCACTGTTAGAAGAAACAAGACATTTTGAGTTTCTTCACATTTTACTAGTACTTTTAAGTATTGATCGGCACAGTTTGCCGCATATAAAGAGGTGATATGATTTAATGTCATCAGCACATGATGCTTGATTTATAAGTTGTTGTATAAGCAAGCAGGAAAAAAAAGCTACGATAGTCTATTTGTTCTTTCCTCTGTTTTACTTTCAGCCTTACCGCTGCCGACGCTGCGTCGAGCTAAGCAAGCAGCTATAAATACGCATAGTCATGGCGCTCTACCCCGGTGTGCGTTCGCAATCACCTCAACGAAATTGCACCATTTTTTATAAAACAAAAAAAAAAATGAAAAAAAAAATATTTCGTTGCAGGTTTTAGGTTGAAAATACTGCAGCTTTTCATAACAAACGACCACAAAAATGCAGAAAGCAAGCTGACAGCGGATTTAAAAAGAGAAAATATAGGCATAGATTTTTAAAAACTGGCTCTACACATCCTTTCATTATAAAGTTCTAGTTTTCTGGAATCCAGATATGGTGACAGGAAGTGGAACTGAGTTGAACGCCTTCGAGTGTTCACAAGTTCACATTTTAGGTGGTGCCGGCAAGTTGAAAATTATTTATTCCAACAAAATAAGTCAACCTCAGGAGGGAAGGATTCTGACATACCAATCCGGACATTTGAAAGCCAATAAACTACTTGCCAAAATGTTACTTAAAAAATATTACTGCACGTTTTATTGTAGTTTTCTTTCTACCCTTAAAATGTTGTTTATATATAGTTTATCTTCTGTATCGAACCTCACATTTGAAAGTTTTGCTAAAGTGAAAACATGTATTATCAACGGCTCATGATGCCTGGTGACCAAATTTTAGACATGAACAAACAAAAGAAAAAAGAAACCAGTTCGTTTTATAGTCGCAGACACCGTAAATCAAACGCAAGGCGTGGGTCATGTTCACACCTCTTGCTTCGTGATTCTTTTTGCTACTCTTATCGGCCGATGCGAGCGATCGTAAAATACTCGAGTTTAGTAAGACCCTTTCATCACTTAATCTGAGGGAGACTGTGTCGCGTCCTGAACGTAATCACAATTTGCAGGTTTAGTCCAGAAAACAAAGGAAGTTACCGCAAGAACGCGTTCCAACCCTTTGGTGTTGGACCACGATGTTGTGTCGGCTACAAGTTGGCTCTCGTGCAAGCATTGTACATCACGGCGAGGATGGTTGCCGACTTTAAGATTGAACTTGGAGAAGCACAAAAGGTATTTTTTTGTGTTACACTCTACAATCAGCCCTAATCTCTTGGACGCGTACTCGGAAACGCTCGAAAAGTTAGTCAACGGGCCAATTTCGGCATCCTGACTGGCAAGATTTTTTAGATGTGCTTACCCGATATGCGTGAGAAAATCAGGGAGCCGGCGAACCTTACATAAAATAAAACAGTCGCCATTTATAAATCTATCTGATATCCCGCTTGACAGCTATCACAACCAAGTAGGTTGAAGTGCTATAGGCGATTCGCAAAAGGGCAGTAAGAAATGCCCAAATTAGGAGACAAGCCTGCTCCTAGCCTTAATGATCTCTGTTGAACGCAGTAGACAACCCCACTGCAATTCATGTCTCATCATCTTAAATCATGTACAAAATATTAAGATGCGTATAAAGTACTTCATGAGCTTCAAGCATTTGGTCGGCTCCGAAGACTTTACGTAAGACATGCCGTTATTTTCGTTTCAGGGTGTCATTGAGATGCGTTCTTCGGGTATGATGGCTGCTCCCGGCAATGGGCCCTGGATAAAATTCACGCGGCTCTGAATCATTATTAACTTACCACGCGTGTGCTCGAACGCAGCGTTGGAGCCTGGACGATGCTTTACAGAATTCTTGCACCTTCTACACTGTTTTTAACTTAAAGCTGGTTCAAGCACTACGGTTTGAATGTGAAATCGTGCGTTATGACCGCTTCTTACCGCTTACTACGAGATAACACACCGGCGCCGTTTATTGGTTAACGTTGTCCTGCTTTAGGTCTAAGTATACTTCCGTATTGTTTTTTTACTATCATTCTGTCAATACGATCTGGGAAATGTTCTGGCAGTGTTATCAGCGATCATTTTTCATTGCTAATGCGCAGATCTGAAATCGTATGTATGACAAAACCGCCAGATTAGTTGATGATAGGAATCATTCAAGGCTATTTACACACTTGTGCGACATTTTTTTGTACCCACATACCAAATTTATGAATATCTACGAACTCTCCACCCCTTAACTTCAGTAAAAATAAAATGAGAACATGGTGTACTCAAGTAAATGAAGACTAACAAGTCGTTCTCACTATTTTTTTTATTTATTACGTCTCTTCAGTCTATAAACAAATGCACTTGGAATTGAAATTTTAATGCGTTCTTTAAACTTCCTTAGTAAGGTATCACATAGCTACTTACGAATTATCATGTGATTATATCGATTAAACGTGGTAGTATATTGATTGCCATTGCGTTGTCTCTTGCGATAGCACGTTCTCACATGTGTAATTTGTTGGGAATCGTGACTGCTCTTTTGAAATTTTCGAATATTTTGGTATATGGATCCCTTTTACGATTCTCCTACTATTTCGTTTATGCTATACTTTGCAACGTGCTGTTTGCGTTGTAATGCAGACAGCTTTGTTTATTTTAGACCTAATGTGGGATAAATGTTTGAAGGAAATGATCGTAGGAGTACAAAGTAAGTGTCCGTTGTAACTATTGTTCAAGATTGAATGGCGAGCAAAGACTAAATCCATATGTATTGTTTTCTTGTCTTTGTTTACCTTTTCTTTTATACAAGTGCGTATCTGAATGGATGCCCTTTTTCACGCACAAGCACCCAAGTGCATTTGTGAGGCAGATTTCTGAACCTTGATGCAGATTTGTTTGCGGAATACTTTGAGTCAGTCTCCAATAATAATAATAACTGCTCCTCAAATATTTCGCCTCACTGCAGGGATGAATTTGGGGATCCATTAGATTCTGTTGTTGTCGATGAGGAGTGTGTTAGGTTATGTATTAAGAAATGAGACCCACATTTTCTGCAGGTCATGACGGGATACCCGCTGCATATGTTGAGGGTTATCATGAATTATTTACGCCTATACTGTGCACAATTTTTAATTACTCATTGACGTCACGAATATTTCCTGACGACTGGAAAGTGGCAGAGATTGTTCCGGCCCTGTACTCTGGAAATAATGATGACGTGCTTAATTACAGACCGATTTCTCTTCTCTTCTTTTTCTTAACTCCTTGAAATGTCCATCCATCAATTCCTCTCCTTCCAGGTTTGTAGTATAATCATTCATAATCAGCATGGCTTCTTGTATGGCAGATCGATAACTACCAATCTCCTATATTTTAAGACTGCTGCATCTGAAGCAGTTTGCAGTAGACACACGATTGAGGTTTTTTTTATTTTGTCCTGAGTAAGGCTTTCGACGTAGTCAGCCACAACATCCGCTTATTCAAGCTTTCCTCTTACTGAGTATGTGGTTCGGTATACAATTTGTTAAAAAGCTATGCCGAGTGCAAGTTCGTCTGCTTCTTTTGCTGGGGTTGTGGTGACGTCAGAACGCCAAGCTCTGATTGGTTCTGAATGAAGGATAGTGGATTGACCTTAAGGCAGCTTGCTTTAAGGTCTACCCACTATCCTTCATTCAGAGCCAATCAGAGCTCGGCGTCTTTCTGATGTCATCGCAAATCCTATAGGCAAGCTTATGTCCGTATCAATAATACTACCTCGTCCTAGTAGAAGGCAAGCTCTCCAGTGCCTCAGGGATTTGTCTTGTCTCCCCTCCTTTTCAATATTTTTGTAAATGACGCCTTTCAGGTTGCATCAAACTCTTCATTTCTCCAGTACGCTGATGACATAAAATTCACAAAATATATTTACCTTAGAGGATTGCATCACTCTTCAGTATGACGCATATTTCTTTGATTATTGGTTTTCAGACAATCACCTCCGTTTGAATCATTCTTAAAACAATAGTAATGACATATTCTCGCAAGACCCACGATATATTTTTTTCCAAACAGTTATCATGACGAACTGCTGTCACGTGTAAGTGAACCGAGGAACCTAGGTGTTGTTTTTGATTGAACCCTGAAATTTGTCACTCACGTTACAAGAGCAATTCAATCGGCCTTGCGTTAGGTGCAACGTCTCGCATAACGAAGCAATTAAAAAAAAAAACGCGTGATTTTCACGCTGTCCTGTTGTCTTAGTTATATCCCCGCTACAGTACGCCTCGGTTGTTTGGAACGGCATTTCAAAAGCTAAAAGTTTATCTCTCGAGCAAGTTCGAAACATATTTATTTTCATCTTTAGATATCGTTACCACGAGAAAAGTGATAATTATTTAAACGTCGGGTGTAACTCGCAACTCGTCAGCCTGTGGAGCCTGCAGCAGCATCGGGTGAAGGTAGACCTGTTGCTTTTGTTTAAGACCCTGCAAGTCTTGATTAACTCTGCCAGCCTTCTGTCCGAGGTGAGCCTTAAAGTTCCACGTGTGTCTACACGACTTAAATCATATTTTTTTAATGTTCGACATTTTAGCCATTTGAACCCGATCCAAAGATCGCCTGAGCGTTATAACTGTTACTTGATTCACTTGATATTTTTAACTCATGCAAGAGCAAGTTCGGGAACGCTGTTCGAAGCTTCTTCGTGCTAGAAAAGGGCTGATCAGTTGAACGATTAATGTTTGTCTCTGAGATAACCAATCATTTTCTTTTCGCTCACACAACTAGCGATGTTTCTGTTTTGTGCTTTTCATTCGCCTTGTTGATTTGAGTGTCTTTCCTACTTGTTAATATATTTAGCCTCAGACTGGCGGTCTACGTTCGCCTTCTGCACTCCTCTGTGTGTTTGAATGTGTGTTTTTGTTTGTTTTTGTAAAGTGTGTTAGCAGTGAGACCTATTGGTTGTTCCTGGACAATATAATAAACACTGACTGATTGATTGATTTACTGATTATTGTTATTCTTATTAATATTTTTAGAAGCAATATCAGTTCGTGTGGTAAAAACGGTAAGGTTTTCGCAAAGAAGATAAGGTGCTCCAGTTACTCCCACCAACAGCGTTGATAACATTGACGAGATGTCCCAGAGTGATGGAAGAACTTTTTTTGTTTAATGTCCCGACTTATTATCTTTGCAGCAAGAGTTATGCCCTAATTATGTAGAGGCGTTTGCCTTATTGCATGTAAAAATCAGAAGCCTAAGAAAATAGTAAGATCAGTTCTCGGTACTCGTTAAAGGGACCATGAAATGACCTTTTTACTTTTTCCAGATACCTTTTACATTAAACCGTCAGTGTTCACTAAATGCCGAACAGGCATCCGTTTTCGTCTCGGTTTATTAACTTCTACACAAAAAATATTGAAATATCGACTTTTTCATTCTCTCCAACTGACCGCAAAACAAGCCGTGACGTAGGCCGTTTCCGGAACCGGAAGTTCTCTCGGCAGTAGGAGAATGGGAGTGTTAGCGGCAACGAGTTGGGGTGCGCCGGTAGGTTTTACTGCGCTGATGTCACCGACGTATTTCCTGAATCGGCGCCTCTCATCGCCGCATCGCAGCTGAGCGAAATTCAATGAGATATGTTGCGCTACAGCGACAGCATGGGACTAGTCCCATACGCCGGTATGCCCGTTGGGAAGTGCAGCGATTCTTCTGGTGAAGACTCCAGAAGTCAACCACCCTGTCATTGTTGGCAGAAGGGCCGGCCCGTGTCAGTCGTTTGCAAAGCGACGTAGATGGCGTTTTTCGCGGCCTCGGAGATGCAGGAGCGAGCCGACGTTAAAAAAGATACGTTTGAACTACGTGTGTCAGCAAGAGCCACGCAAATACCTGTTTACACTCGGAGCGGATGCGCGCGCTTGATGGAAGTGCTGTATTCGCGCTGTTTGTAAGCGCTTCGGGACCGTTCTTTTACGATTGCAACTCGATACTGACGCGACACTCGGCAAAGAAAGGTTGGACCGGGGTTGTACGTATACCTCCCACGAACTGTTATAGCTCGACAGTGACGTGCAGTCTGTCAGAATAAAAATGGCATACCAATAACAAAGTGTACATACCGTGTTACGAAGGTAATCCATACGGCGTTTATTTCAGCTCTATATCACACAAAACAAGAAGATAGAATCGACGAGAGTCCCTTTTCGACGAGTGTTCGTCAACACTGCCTCGGAAAACAAGGGGAAGAGATTGACCTCACCTCTTAATCTAGAATTGAGGTCAGTGATCAAACTATAATACGGGAAGGGTCCACAAGGGTCGCGCGGGCATATTCCATTTAGCACGCCAGCCGGTCGTAGGCAGACGGTCTTGCGACGAAGCAACGCAGCGCCGAGTCGGAATGCCTGCTGGGCCTATATTCTGAGCAGCTTGCTTCGTCGGAGTCGGTGGATCCAGCGTTCTTGTTCGTCGTGGTCTGTTTTAAGTACTGTTTTCTTGCTGCTTGAAGTCGGCACGCGCGGGAAGAGCACGTAGAAAAATAAACGTTCAGTCAGTCAGAGTTTTGAGAGGAAGGAAAACAAAGAAAATAAATGTTCGTTGGCCAACGCCACCCAAGTAACTGTCGGCCCTGCCCTACTGCGCACGCGCAGTAGTTGCTTCGTTTACCACACGATAGATGGCGCTTGGCTCTCAGCATTATCAAATTTGGCAATTTTCGCCACACATCTCTAATTATGCTACAAATGTGGATCTGAATATTATTTAACAAAACTTTTAGGAAACATTCGCCGGCTATTTACTGTTTACGATCGCGGTGCTGGTGAGGTAGGTTCGTACCCAATAGGCGACCTGGATTTGGCTGACGTGCTCCATTTCCGCGGATGCATCGTAGTGAACAGGCGAAGGAAGGAAGGCGCAAAAGAGTCCAGTTTTCTTTTAAAAGTTCTATAGCAAATAATTTTTTTTGGCTCCCTATTTTTGTGTTTTTGTGTTTCTTTTCACACCTTTTACGACGTGCGGTGGATGAAACTCGATTTTAAAATCATTTCATTGTCCCTTTAAGTAGAGTTGCACAGTTTTGATGTTTTGGTTTCAACTGAAATTAACATCGACGATAACCTGTGTGATACTTCTTTTTTCTTTCTAGGTACAAAATTTTCTGTCGTGCACTACAAGGCATCAGGTGTGGTGGAATAGGTATTCTAGTTAGGGAAGTTTGGGTTAGTGAGGATACCGATATTTATTTTGTTCATTCAGAGTCACTCTCTTAACCTAAGGATCAGAAACTCCTCCTGGTCTCTTTTGGTGTTTTATAGTCCCCCTTCCCCAAATCGGACTATTATCGTGGACGAGCTAAAAGCATACCAGCGGGATTCATCAGCAGAAACAAATTGCCTAGTAGG